ATATATATCTTTCTCTCATATAGATTATGCTGATAATACGTGTTTCTGATATTGAGCAGGAGAGTAGTTTCTCTCCTTTCCAATGCAAAGCCTGCTGTTCAGAGGGTAACATAGTCTGTCTCAACTTCTGTTTCCAAAATCTTTCTCAGCCAGTCAGCAACCTTTGTTCACTTTTTATTATCCACATGCCACCCAGCAGCACCCATCACTTTAACTCAGTAACTAACATTATTAACATGTGATGTTAATATCTGTGATCAATAATTCTGATTTTTGTACAGTAATCTACTAAAACTGAAATCTGACAGTTACCTCATGCTAACAGAGCTGAGTATGATCTTGGAGGGTATTTTCAGACTGTTTGGCTTGGTTGGGTTTCCTTTATTTAGCCTAAATCTCCAGCAATTACATGGTATTTCATTTCATTTCTGTAATGCTAACTGTGCTTTAAGATGTTTAATTACAATTGATGAGATTTCCCTTCCCTTAGGGAAACAGATCCAGGGCAAACCTATAGAGTTTGTGGACTAAAAGGGAAAGGAGCTGGTCATTTTTTTAACCAACCACTATTTAATTCTCTAAAAGTATGCTACTTTCCAACTACCCATCAACCACAGTTTCCCAATAGCTCTATTCTCCCTTCAGAACAAGCAAGCAAACATTCTAAGAATATCAAATAGCTCCCTCTGAGTTCCCTATTTATGATTGATTCCTGATTCACATCTATTCCACTAATGACTAATTGTCCTTAGTGGAATTTGGGCATATTTCCATGATATTTCATACCCTTAAGCACAGAAAGTATTCAGTACCATAGATTTCTGAAATTACACCTTTAAGGGAAAGAAGAAATCATAACTAGAGAACTGTAGTAGTTATTCTACCCTGGTCACCCCCCACAGAGGCCAAACATACAATCAACATCCATCAGAATATTGTCCTTGAACTCTATAGAGCAACCTGACCGTGCATGTATAGCAAATTAGATTTCATCAATCATTGAATGAAATCATGGTTACTAATAAGTCATTTGAGTTCCTAAACTTATTCGGATTGGATTAAGAGATGAGATGACCCTTTGATTGACTGCAGCACCAAAAGGAAAACAGAACACGACCTCTTCCTCAAATTCTCTTGACAGATCCAAAGTACACCCTAGTCGTACAGCATACATATACTGTATGGAACCCTAGGGCTATCCCATTGCCTAGTATCATTTAACCAACTTAAGTTAAACATCTATACCAGAAAATCCATCAGCGGATGCCTCACTCTATAAATGTGATGGGCTTAAAGACAGCGGCTTGGAACTGCCTAGAGCATTTAGCTTTGGGCCACCAGACACATGGCGCTGGTCCCTACCTCAGACTTCCACACGATGTACGGGTGGCCACCACTGTTGGATGGGGGTTGGAACTTCCTCTGCTGGAGCCACCTCCTGGGAGAAGCGAAGATGCCATTGGGGCCTCCCCCAGAAGAAGAGGGGATGCTCGCAGCGCTGCGGCCACTGGCCCCCACCAGGACCGAAGGCAGGTCCCAGGCCATGCTCTTTTTGAAACCACTGCGACCCAGGGGGACCTCGTAGTCAAAATGGAAACTGCTAGACGGCGACTTCTCTTGCGGGGTACTGGGCGTGGAGAAGGACGAACATAGAGGTCTGGGTAACGGGAGTCGGGTAGCCCGTGGGTGCTGACTCCGGGGAGAAGACGCGGAATAGGAACCCGGATCTTCGGCTAGGAGCTGCTGAGAGTAGAGGCGGGTTCCTGTGGAGGCCCGCAGGCTACCCTCTGTGCCGGTCTCGCTCCCGTCGCCACTGATCAGGGCTGGATCCAGGCTGCGGGTCTGGCGCAGCTTCCTCTTGGAGAATCCCTTGGCTGAGGCGGTGCTGGAGGCGGGTGAGGAACAGGAGAAGACGCTGTGGAGCAGGCTCTGCGCGGACATCTCGACTGGACTGTGTCTGAGGACCACCTTCTTTCTTCTCTTTCCCTTCTAGATCAAGGCGACTGGGGAAGAGTTGCCAGGTAGGGGTCTCCAAGGGCGGTGGAAGGCAGTGCCAGGCTCACGAGCCGCCAGAGCGCTCCAAGTGTCCCTGAGGAGGCAGAAATAGGAGCTCCATCACCTGCCTTCTAGGAAAAAAACAAGAAGTCCGTGTCCCTTTGAAGCCTTTAGAACCTTCTACACGGAGCCCAAGTCTCTAAGAGGCTAAGGAAGAAGAGGAAGATTGGTCATCCGCCTTGTTCCCAGCTCCAGTCTGCCAGCGCCACTCCCCCTTTCCCAGTGAAAGGCGGGAGACACTGCGCTCCAGCTCTCTGGCTCTGGACAGCCTAGAAGTCTCCAGCAAGCTCCTCCTCGTGGCCCGAGGACAGTCTTGAGGACTCGGGAGGAGGCTGCCTGGGCGTACGCCCAGAGTTTGTAGTCCGTGCTCCTAGCGTGGTAAGAACTTCCCAGGACCCAAGCTCAGCGCCCGCAGCACACTCGCTGCATCCTCACAGCGACTTGGGGACCACGGCTGCGCTCTGGGGATCTGCTGGACTGACGAGGCTCAGAGGTGTCTCCAAGCTCAAGGTTGTGGAGGGGTGCGGGTCCTGCTGCAGTGGGACACAATGCGCGCAGCGCGTGTGGCCTTCCAAGGGCTGAGTGACAACACAAAGATGGGAGAGAATTCCCTGCTGCGCGCTCAACGCTAATTGTGGAGGACCGAGCTCAGAAGAAAGCCTCCGAAGCGCGTGCCCGCGTTCCGAACGACACTTGATACTCGCTACCAGTCTTGTTGGGCCCAGAGCTGGCGCAGAGGTCCCAGCACCCTCGCGCTAGAGGCAGCTGGAAAACGGTGGCCCGGGGCGGGAGGGCGAGAGGAACGCAGGGTCTGGAGCCAGGGCGGAGCCAGGAGCAGGAGAAAGCAGAGCGTGAAGTTTTCCAGGCGCCAAACCTGGGAAGCAACTCCGAGAGCCGGCTGGCTGTTCGCTGATACCAGGTCTCCTGGGGAGAAAGTCGTGAGGACGACGGAAGTGCGGACTCCCCTCCTCTGGACTCAGGGGCGCGCTGTGTGCACTCACGTTTCTGCAAAGGAAGGGGAGTGTCAGATTGTACCCCACCCACTGGTGTCAGATGGGCAACCCAGGACAGATTTTCTGATCTTTGAGTTAAATTTCCAGCCTTCTCCCCACCAGCCCCAACCCCGCTGCCTTTTTTTAAAGGACATATGAAGATCCAATTCAAATGCTTGAGGCTGCCCAAGGGGGGGGGCGATGTCTTCGCAGGTCTGGGTCCTGAGCACGTGAGTAGATGTTTTCTAATTAAGAGGAGGAGGTGAATGGGACCTGGTCGCGGTGGAGATACAGGAAGACAGTTAATTGGCCTCCTGGGTTCACACTAGGACCCCTCTGAGCTCAGTGCACAGATGCCAGGGTCCTGAATAACTAAGAAACACAGGAGAAGTCAATGTTCTTGGCTTGGCGATCAACCTGGGAGCAGCTTCTTGCACCCCCACCGGTGGTATCTATAAAACTAAAATGTCAAACCTCGCCCGCCTTTTGTGGGGCTTTGTGACGTCATGCTTAAATGTTGCAAGGCATCTTACAATCATTTCTGTAGGGAGCTGACAGAACGTTGGAAATAAGTCGTTGCATATTTCATGTGGTTTTGAGCCCTTTTTCAAAAAAATATACTTGGGGGGGGTGAAGAGGACTTTATACAAATGAAAAAGAAATTTTACCATTTGCTTAAGAAAATGTATTATAATGAAACCATTAATGCAGGTGTTCGATACAAACATCCATCTTGTGTAAATGCTAGCATTGTCCAAGTTTGATTTTAGAAGACTATTCCCTGTAACATTTGTTGTGGCAGGTGGATTAATTTTCCTGTGGCTTTTTAAAAAGCCAACTTGATGTTGCTAGGTGTTTGGCTCTTTAGCAGGAGGCATGCCATGAAATCTAATTAGTTGGAGAGTTCATTGCCTGGACAAAGAGAATGACACATCCAGTTCTGATCCGTCCTATAGTCTGCACTGCTCTTTGTGAACACTGGCGACAGCACCCCATGGAAGTTCTTTCTTATGGCTTGATTGCCCTGCCTGCTCCTGAAGACAGAATGAGAGTCTTATTTCCCATCACTGTGCTGCTCCTTCTACTTATGCAGGGAATGTCCCTAGTATTTTCAGTGGCCGTCAATCAGCTGTTTTTCAAGAGGCCACAGCATTTAAAATTACTTGATGTCCTACTTAAGGACATGCCAAATTACCTTTAGGGAACTGATGGGGTTTTCGATCATCCCTCTTCAAGCAACTTACAGTAGAAGTAAGAATGTGGTTCATGCCTGTGCTCTCTTTGGTAACAATACCTTGCACCTTTTAACTCATAATCAAACACCTACCCAAAGTATTCCCAAGTGCCAGGATACCATTGCTTGGGTATGCCTCATTGCATAATTATGCCTCAATGCATGGTTATACCTCATTGAGTCTTGGCATTCAGGGTAGATGGTTAACAGAGTCACACTTCACAGGATCACTTGTGACTCAAGGTGGTTGAACAAATGTCACTCTAATTCATATATGTTCTATTTGTCCTGAGCTCCTGTGATGACTATGAGGTTGAAAATGCAACTCTGCCAGGATTGTACAGGGCTAATATGAATGCCCTACAGATGCAATGGCATGCATTGTTGGTCATGGACAGAAAGCTAACAAGCAGAACAACTCTTAATCAGCACCCCTAGGGCTTCAAGCAGACACGTGTCAGTTCATTTGTCATCTGGCTTCCAGAAGGCCCTAACCTACCATTAACCTAGAACTTGCTTCAGCTTTAGGAACAATGAATATATTGTTCTAAATACATTTATATGTGGCTTAGCGATGGACATGCCTTAAAAAATGTATACTTGGTGATTTGTCATTGCATGGACATCATAAAATGTATACAAACCTAGATTGTATAGATCAGTCCCTTGAAGTGGCATCTTGAGGCAACCAAGGTGTATGGCAAACTGGGATTGGAGAGATGGCTCAGCGGTTAAGAACACTGGCTGCTCTTGAAGAGGGATCCAGGTTCTATTCCAAACATCCATATGGTGGCTAACAACTGTCCATAACTCCAGTTCCAGGGGATCCAATGCTCTCTTCTGGCCTCTGCAGGCATTTCATGACATGGGTACATGTACATGCATGTAGGCAATGCACTCATACATATAAAATAAAAATAATAAAATGTTTTTTAAAAAGATATATGGCAAACATGAGATGTGTGAGACTGCTGCTAATGCTGCCAATGTAACATGACATGATTTATAGTAAATATTTTACTGTAAAATAACAATAAAGAATGGAATAGGAAGTACATCAAAAAGTAGCGTAGTCATTTATAATGACCAAATATAATATACTGAACATAATTCTGTATGTTCTATTGAGGATTGGGGAGTTCATTTTCATTTGGGGGAGGGAGGAAAGGGTCTTGCTCTCCAGTCTGACCTCCAATCTTCAGTTCCGTGGACTCTGCTTCCCAAGTGCTGAGACACACCCCTCACCACCATAAATAAAGGACTAATGAATTGTACATTAACATCAGCACAGCAATAGATTTTTCCAGCTCCATTAACATCTTAAAGAATGTTATGCACAGGGTCTATCCTTGACCAAAAGATTCTTGTCTCATGAATGGCTGCATGCATTAACCTTGTGCTCCTTGGAAAAAATTACTCAGTGAAGTCATATATGCTTTTAAAACACAGGTATAAATATAGTGGTTCTGCTATAAAGAAAAAAAAATTTGAGCCGGGCATGGTGGTGCATGTCTTTAATCCCTGCACTTGGAAGGCAGAGGAAGGTAGATCTCTGTGAGTTCAAGTCCAGCCTGGTCTCCACAGTCAGTTCCAGGCTACCTGGGGCTACACGGAGACCCTGTGTCAAAAAAATTTTGTAATAAAATTAGTTGGATTTTTAATATTTACAGAAGCTATTACATTTTCATGGAATTAGCCACCACATAAAAAAGACAGAGTTGAAATTAGAAAAGCAATTATTTTTATGTCCTCTTTCACAATTCCTAAGCTCTCCTTTGTTGCCTAATATCACCCTTCCTTGGTGTCCTGGCTAAATGTTATACGATGCCTACACTTGTAGCTGTATAAATATATGTGTACATTATAGGATAGAATCTGCATGTGACAGTATACAGGTTTCTTTCTGAGTTTGAGCAATCTCATTAACCATTCTAGGTCCATTCATTTGCCTGCAATAGCATTATTTTTATTTTTCTCTAGGGCTGAATAATATTCCATTTTGTAATGTGTCACATTTATATTACATTTCAAGTTCATAAAAGTGTAACATACTTATGTTGAGTTCCATGACTTCAGAATGGAAATTGTGATTACAGAAGTTCACTGAGATGCATAGAGTTTGGGACTGGGCAAGTGTGTGTTTGAGTGGCTACCTTAATCTAGCTGTGTGATGTTTTTATTTGTGAATTCACTACAATGAAATGATTTAAATAAAAAATATAAAATAATATTTTGTATTCTACCTGAATGTTCAGTTTATATCATAGTCATCGTAACTTATGGCATTACCATTCATTCATTCAGAACGTCCTATTTCACTCTTGTTTGTTACATAATCCCTTTGCTCACACAGACTCAACTCCTATTGTCCATTCTGATTTACTGCCAGGTTGCACCACATTTGACGAAGAAAAATTTACGAGTCCATTGACCAATGTCAGAAATAGGTGATTGTGTTTCATTGATGCTCAGAATCTATCTTATAATTCATCAGCTAATTTCCAAATGGGGAAAAACAGTAGTGTAGAAAAATGCTTTAAAATATATATACTTTGAAAACCACATCTCTAAGACTTTCCTCCATTTTTACAATTGCTACTGAAAAGTAGCACCATGCTTGTTTACAGTTTGGGTTTTTTCTCAGAGCCTTGATTAAAGCCTTAAGCTACATTTCATTAAAGAGAACAATCTGTTCACTATTCATTCCCATTATAATTATCACAGAAATTCAGGATTTTTCAAAAATGATGCTATCTATTCCATGTGGTCATGGCACGAGACTATTGTAGTGAAAGTTCTGGAATCTTTGGTCTGACATCAAGGTATCCTCTTATCAAGGATCTTGGCAAATGTAACATTGTTTTTTTGTCTATTCTGTTAAGAGAGTGTTCCACAAACACATAAATCTTACTATCAAAGAACATATTCTGATGCT